CAGAGGTGGAGGAACCACACGTACAATCCCGCACTGACGATATCGCTTTGAGTTGTGACGGAACTTTTGTAAGCTGATTACCTAGCTGGTGAGCTGATCAAATGCGGCCTAATTTACAGCCAGTTGACCCAGGCCAGCTATCAATATTTAAGCAGTTTAACAGGAAATACTAATTAAGAGCATGCAAGATGCGTCCAGATGTCTGGAGACCTATCAAGAATAGTGTTAGCCAGATACTAAACTACCATACAACTACAGATTAGACGTCTTCGATGAAATACCTTTCACCTGAAGATCTTTGTTCGCCCAATTTTTATTATAGTACTACAGATTAGACGTCTTCGATGAAACACTTTTCACCTGAAGATCTTCGTTCGCCCAATTTCAGTAGATATCATGACTAGTCCTCATTCTAGTGCGCAGAAACACCGGAGGAACTATATTGTTTCCTTGATGTTCAAGTACGATGTATGATGTTTGCTTTTAGGGTCTGAATAAACCTTCTCGAGGTAAGAATCTTCTAGAACGTCAAGATCATTATACTGCACATAACACCCAGATATATCTTAAATGATGTTCACCCAGTATCCTGTTCAGATATCTTGCTATGTCTTATCGAAAGTGTCTTGATAGATAACCAGGCCTGGTTGATGTAAATTTTCGGCATCAATATGTAGAATTCTGGTTGATATAAATTTTCGGCATCAATGTGTAGAGTTTTACGCATATCCAAACGTTTAGTCAAAGTTAACACAGAGCGACGTTTTATTTTCATTGGAGTATTGTCCTATCTTCGTTCGCTCATTTTATCAAGATTTTTTCTATAAAAAAAGGTAAGGATGTCATAGGATTGTGAAATAAAACGGAGATGAACATTAATGCCCGTGGGGTTACGTTCTGTTGACTAATTTGTCAACGGACCCCATCCTTCTAGCCTGCTTTGGATTAATTATGCACACGTGCGCAATTGAAGGGAATAGTTCAGCCACTTCCTATCTATTCATATTTTTCTTGATGATAAAAATCTTAGAACTGTGTTTTTACTACTAGCACACGTGGAGTAACTGAGGTCCCGGCCATGATTATGTCTTCAAATGACTGATCGGAGAACAATGTGACACCATCCGCGGTCACTGATGCGGTTCGATCTGCTAACCATACACCGTTTCTAACCTTCGTTGTTCATATAATGCAGCAAATTTTCCCAGAGGAGAGTTTCTGAATTAAAAAAGAGGCTGTGTACGGCCGGGGTAAAAAACACCTATAAAAGATAAAATACAAGGAAACGCCTGGTCTTGTTCCTCAGGTTTTTCAGTGCGGATTGGAGGCGTGTAACGCAAAACGTCGTCACTCTGCCTAACTTCCTAAGCTAGGAGACCTAAAACACGCAAAATATGTATGGTTATAATCACTTTAATGGGATTGGATATGGATATACCACTAAATATTTGAAAAAATAAGGGACATCGAAAAGAATCCTCACAGATGCCAACGTAGGCCTCAAACATTCCATATATTGATGCTGCTTCTTAACGCACGGCCAAACGTCAGCTAATACAGGGAAAAAGCGATGTCTTACACAATAACGGTGAAGTTGAACCCCCACACAAGTTTACAGTATAGCAAACTTTTGCCCTATACAGACGAATAGAGAAAGCACTCTCCAAAAACGTGATTGCAATTCGCCAAAGTTATTTGCCCCAGATGTCATTAATCTTTCTTTCCTAAAACCACTGGTAGCGCAAGAACGGAATGGTATCCAACATAAAGAATGATTGAGGACAACCCAGAGCGCGTTTCTTTGGGATGAGCGTTACTCTCTGCCTGAGTTCAGACCTTTGATGTGGGTCCATTTTTATCCGAAGGCCCAAGTGGTTAGAGCGTGAATTTACTGACCGGAAGATCTGTGGTTTGAACCCGACCTCTGGCTCTCGACTTCTCCTGCCTAAACTTGGGCAACCTGGCAGTATCCCGGCCCTCGTGCAACCTTCGGGTGACATGGCAGTTAGGCACCAAAAGGGTGCTACAGCTGAGCGATTTTTTTCTATTGTTGCCCAGCAAGGTCGGTATCATATCATTCCAAAATCTTCGTTCCGAATGTCGCCGCACGATCAGGGCCGCGAAATGCTGTTTATCAGCGGCGTTATTCAAGTGCACGAAAAGCTTTGAAGCACTGTTCTTGGTTCTGTCGTTCCGTTCAAGTGACTCAAACTGTGTTTACCAGTCATTTCTGACATGGAGCTAACCTGTTCACCATATCACCTCCACAGTTCGCGTTTCGTGACCTAGATGGCTAAAATATTGACATTTTGTCACTGAGATCAACCGGCCATAGTGGAACACTCTCAGATTTTCCAGAGTCAAAGAGCACTTTCAAAATTAAACTTCAAAAGGCACTTGTGAGGAGCAGTCGAGAGACTATCGTGGCCAATAACAACTGTCCATCTGTAGCCTTCAGGTTCACCAAAAGCCAAGATACAGGTTAGGGGACGATTGCTTAAGCATAATAAAAAATAACCATGTTTTCTGACCCTGCACACTGAATCCACCTAGCCAAGATTTGCCAACAATAGCCAAGATTTGACTGGAAAACAACAGTATGATAGTCCTACATACGTATACTCACCGGGCCCGGTTGAGCGTGAAATGCGATAATAATGACAGCGAGAATGAGTACTTTGGCAAGTAGCATGGATGAGAACTGTGGAAAACAGATGGGAGAAGCAAAGTTTGATGAAGTATGTGAATCTGTTTGTGAAAACAACATTCATCAAGTCAGCTACCGTACACAATCAGCAGTGGGGAAACATTTTCAGGGAAGGTCGTTTGTTAGGTTATCTCTAGCACAGGATGAGGTATCTGATTGCCACAACCTTACCTGGGGAAAATCAAATGGCGGGATGGAGTCCTTAATGAAAACTACCAAATGGCTTCAATCTATAATAATCTCATGAAACGAGTTGAACTTCCTTCTGAGGAGTCAGTCAATGGGTGGCCACGTGATGTGGTCTCTGTGATGAAATATGGATGGAGCTATGCCCCACCTAAGTTTGGTTTAATCACATTGCTAATCAGCTGCTCATGACCGAACTGTTGAGTGTTTAGTCGAAAATTCTGGGATTCCATACTCCCTTAGTTTAGTGAGATGTACAATGCCGATGATTCCCAATAGAGAGAAGACAGCTGTGTGGTTATTTTCCGACTTTTAGCATATGGTAGTTTCTCTGGTAGAATGAAACATCTGTTGATAGTGTAAATGTACCAAGAGGGTGAAATCCGCCCAGGCTAAGTTCGCACTTGGGTGTGGGCAAAAACGCACAGCTTGTTCGCCCAGAAAGAACGTCTTCAACCAAGTGGAAATGTACAGATGTGATATTGTTCCCATTTTAGCCATGAACCCATTGTGGGGAGTAACAATGGATTTCGTGATCTCTTCATGAACGGATTCTAAAGCACAATAGTTTCGAATCACGTACGTAAAAATTTATACAGATTGGGATTAAGCGCCTAAATTGTCGAGCGATTCAAATGATTCAAAGAACACAACAGCCTCGATTGCTGGTCTACATGGCAATTTTTCATAAGATTACACGGCTTTGGATTAGACCGAACCACTCGTAACTAGGAGATCACAGGAACGAAATTGGCTAACGCGACTTTTTGGACTAGACCTCGGTAAAAAAAACACTGGGAATACCCCCAAAATCTCGAACACAGTGCCGTTTTATTAATTCAGACTGTAACTCAGACTGTACTTGTCATCCACAGTTTTAGCCTGAAATTCTAATTTTTTTAACTTGACTACTGAAACAAACTTTTATGTGAGTTTTTCGGAGAGCTTCTGGAATTTAAGAAGTCTGAAATCCGGGTACGAAATGGTTTGGGCTCTGATTGCCGAGCTCTCTTTTAGAACGATTTGCCAGCATTATGCTTTTTGTTGTTGATTCTTCTGTAGAAGTCACAGGGTTGTCGTCGATCATCAGGATGGCATCACCTATCTGGCGTGTTAGTGCAGTCCACGAGTTAATATCTCTATGTGTACTACATTCACAACCGGTCTTGAAAAAGTGGCCACATAAGCTCATTGTTCTGGTAATTGATGTAAAGCCGGTTTGATACGTCAAACACTACGGACGATGAATTAGCGCGCTTGTTTCGGGAGTTTTTTGACAATTTGATCGTTTCAAAGGCATGCTATCGAGCACACTTGGAACGCACTTCGCTTGGTTACCGTTTTAGGATTCGCCTGTAACCTTATCTTGGAGCCGTCAGGGTTGGAGTACAGGGTTGCAACGGTAACCTACAAAAAAGTCGCACAAGATCCACGGTAGAGTGGTGGCAACCATTTAGTGATCAGAGTCCAGTTACACCCTTAACTTAACACGGGAAGTACACACCGTGTGTAATTGAATTTTTATGTGTCCCACGAGAGCGATCTAGGTTTGCACTTTTATCGACGGTGTAAGCAAAACCGTTGGTTTTCCTTGCTTTTCAGAGCTGTTTTTTAAGTGTTTTTGAATGCTGCTGGCCACACAGCTGCCACACAGCTACACAGCTGTAAGACCTTATCGTGTCTAGCTGCCATTCGACCCGAAGGAAGCATGAGGGCTGAGATACTGCCAGGTTGCCCAATTATAGACAGGAGAAGTGAAGAGACAGAGGTCGGGTTCGAACAATGGACCTTCCGATCAGTAAATTTGTGCTCTAACCAGTTGAGCCATCTCGCTCCCACACATCCACAATAGGAAGCAAAGTCGACATAGGGTATTTAGCAATGTAACTGGATAACCAAGCAGTTACTAACTAACTATCCCAGGAATCGATCCAAAACAAACGCGGAATCGGTGGAATTACTAACTAACTATCCTAGGAATCGATCTGTGGTTGGCAATCCAAAACAATCGCGGAATCGGTGGGTAAGTGAACTACATTCAAACATTTTGTTGAAAGTCCCAACATATAGGTGACATAACGAGGCTTTACAAACAGACGATAACATTTAGCAAGCAGATTCCCACAAACAACTGGGTCGCGGCTCAACTGCAAAGTGCAAAGGACTTCCTAGTTCCATGTTCAAATTCCTCGAACGTACTTATCTGTAGCTCGGCATTGCCAAAAACGACCTGTTCGGACAGGTATCAGTTTACCGTTAGAATGACTGACATTTGCCGGGTTCGGCTAGCTAATGGGCTCCATCTTCGGCAAAGTAGACAGAGTCAGTTGTTGGCAAACCATTATTTGCCGCCAGTTCGCCCGTAACCGCACCTATAGAGATCTAAACACCGGTTAGTTAAACTGGACAAAGACAACACCCGGTGGCAGTGAGTAAAACCCACTTGACCGAAATATATTGAGTTTTGATGAAGCCAGTATTCGAGCCCTCTGATAAATTTGGAACAAGAATGACCGTACCAAAGCTGGGGGTGGATTGTTCAAACGACAGTGATTCTGATTCTGAAGTCATCCTAGCAAGTGATCGACAATCTTCACCGGTGGTGACAGAATTTTCGAAACAAAAGGGTGGGTTATTTAAGTCGAAGGCTGGAAAATAGTTGTTAGAACTAGTTGAATGACTTCAACTGCAATCAGGGATGTCACTGATCTTAATAATGACGAAAATCAAGTCCCTCGTCCGTTTTATGCACAACCTACCAGGAATAGAATGAATCGGTTCTGTACGATAGCTCCGTACAATCCAACACAGCATAGAGCAGTGGTGCACAGGCCTATCCAGAATGCAATCTGTCCAAATGGCTCTAGAATTTAAAACGAGCAATGGAATAAAAATGAAAATCTAAGTTTTGGCGTTGAAATTTCGAAAGTTACTGCATTGTTATTCACTCATTCGTCCGAGTCACGTAATAATATTGCGCATGGCTTGCAAGACGAATAAGCCAACCTATTCCTCAGCACCGGATGATCAGTAATAAATATAGCTGACAGTGCGGGGACGTACAAGCTACCTTGCTACTGGAGAAGATTAGTGTGAGTGCTTGTTTGGCAGTAGCTCAACCTTAAACCGTGGTTGTGGAAAAGCGGAACAGGTTAATTGGTGTTGGACTATAGTTGGGAACTTTGCGTCTCCCATCTGGAATCTAACGCATATTGGGAGAGTTATTTTCGCTCAATAATTTCAAACACGAAGTCATCCTTTTCGTGAAATACACTGATCTGCAAATCAACTTGGTTTTCACGAGAGACTCAACTGAATCTCTCGTGTATGATATTCTACAACTGAATGTGCTGCTCACAGGCTGCCTCATGATTCAGTTGGCACGAGATTCGAGATATTGCAGAATATTTTCATAAATTGAAAATTAGTGTGTTTCTCGAAAGCAGTCCAATTTGGGTTCAAGTAGATCATAAGGTTAACGGACACTTGGGGACTGCGCCTACCTGCTGAGCCCCAAGAAGGGCGAAACCCGTCGTGGGCTGTCGAAGAGTTTTCAGCACCTTTGTGAGTAGTTTGCTTTACGAGGTCATGGTTATTTATTCCACCCCATTTAGCACCCATTTAGCAGTTCGCTGTTTTCAGCAACCTTGTGAGTAGTTTTCTTTCCGAGGTCATGGTTATTTATTCCACCCCTTAATAAGTGACCGATCGCACCCATTTAGCAGTTCGCTGGAAGAACCTTGCCGGAGAACCAGTGCAACAGTCCATTGAGCGCACAAGTCCAACTATTCAACAATCCACCCCCGAAATCTCTTCAGCTCAAAACCAAATAAGGTAGACTATGGACGCTAATACTGCATTCGGTTGAACAGTCATTCGAAGATTAAGATGGTGTTAAGGAACTACCTAAAATAACCTCTTGTTGATGAGGGTTTTCGGCCAAACATGCTGCAAAAACCCAAAACTGAAAAGATAATGTTTGTAAGATTGGTAAAAATTGTTGTACACCCCTTCCCCATACAGGTTTTGTCCCACTTTTGGCATTTATCATGCCAAATCTCTCAAGTTCCTTCACTCCTGGGCTCACTTGCAGAGAACTTGAATGAACATCAGCTTAACGCTTTAATCATTGTAATATTTAACTGAATGCACCGCATATTTCATCTAGCACAACATCATTTTTGGGGCTGATCAAAGCCCCTTACGTAGCTTATCCGATTATACATCACACGCATATAAGATTCTAACGGTCATCCTTACCAACAAATCACCCCCGGAAAAGGTTGATAAGTGTCCTAGTGATTAGGTTCTTCTTTTTTGAGAAAGCATTTGAGAGCAATGTTCTTCGTTTCTTCAGAAATTTTGTTAGTAGAAGCGGCACATTTGGAAGGAAACATCAATTGCGCAATCCGACACACTCTCGATTCCGAAAAATCGATATTATTCAAGCGCATAAACTGCGAACTACAAATGGAAATTACACATTATACCCTCCATGTGAAGGTAATTTGAGTGAACCCTTCCATTTCCTCTTAACCACAGTTTTACAAAAAGTTCACAATAGGTCCGGCACTCAATCAATTTTTAATGGTGTAGTCAATCGAACTGTATGATTGCAGCACCACAGGTAGTGTTGAACCCCTGATGAGACTCCACAGCTTTTGTGTAGTCTGGCAAACCACTGGTCACTTTGATACAATCTTGATTAAATTTCCAGTTTGTCACTAGCCTGCCCAATTCATCTCTCAAGCGGTCGCTTCCGACAAAAGGTATCTCACTGGGCGCGTAGCCAATACTTCTTGAATTCGCACTGCCATACACAGTGTTTTCAGCCATATCGAAACACATACTGCTCAACCACTGTTTTCACTTGATTTTTCGCATTCACTTCTGTTGTACAGGCCAAATTTTCTGAGTTTTAATTACCAGAGTGAATAAAAAAGAACGGGCTGTGCCAGCCTTTTATGGTAAAACCTCTCACTGCTTGAGGTTAATTGAGTTTCGAAAACTGGTAAGAAGCGGCGGTAGTGTAGGTTGTAAACAGGATGCTGAAGTCTGTAGCTTATAGGCTCAAAATAACGACGTTGGTGTTATTGTATGACTAGTCTAAATAACGCGATCGGTGTAGATTCAAGCCTACCTACAAACTCCAGTATGGCGGTTAAAACCGTGGTCTTGGCGGCTTCATTGTTTGTGAGGCCCATGTGGTTGAGGTAGGCGTCCACCGGTACCATATAGTAGTTGTACATGGTTCGATGTCCCCAGGTGAACAGACATCCGATCACGAAGAATACCATGCCAGCGCACTGGAGGTAGTGAGATAAATGCGGATAATGTGTCAGCTGTTATCTGGGAGAGTTAGTAGACATAGAACGTGTGCAACAAGTTGAGCAACAGATATGTGGATAGGGGAATCAGTAACCTTGATCGACAGCATTCATGCCAAGAAGAAACAGCCTAAACATCCAGAAAACAACCCCGTTTGCTTCTGCTAGTCATAGAAGTAATCGGCGTTGGTTAGATATGCGTCCTCATTGTTTAGCAGTCATTTTCATAGTGGACAAACTGATTACCGTCAACCAGCTGATACTAAGGGTTTATTTATCGATTTCCTTTATACTGTTCGAATGGGATATTGAAAAGGAAGTAAGGATAGATGGAATACTTCACAGATATAGTTCCGTCAATACAAGGTGTTCTTTTGCCCATACTGCGTGAATACTATGCACATTCCATTCCGTGAAAACCGATAAAATTATCCTGAGAGACTAAGCAGCACATCGGTTTCAATACCAGTTAGACACAAGTGGGCCCGGTTTGGAATTGTGAGAGTCTTACTCGTAGTAAAACAACTCAGCGTTGATGCCGCACTTCTCGGGTTTTTCACTTCGATCACCTACCACTTTATGACGGATAAAAACTCACTACTTTAAAAAAACAAGTAGCTCATCCAGCAAAAATACCCGTGAGGCTAGAAGGCCGTCAGTCCAGAGGCTAGCCGTTATCAGCACACACATTATGTGGTCATCTCTCATGAAAGTTAAACATAGTAACGGTGAAAGAAACTGCGGCAGCACTGTACGACGAGTACGCGGTTATTACAGCTGACAGTGATGATCATGATGATAGTAACGGTGGCACGAATCTGATATATTCATTATTCGTCGGACGTCTGCCAAGATAATAAAACTAAGGCGCTCACATCCCGATTGGTGTAACCGTATTCCACAGAACAATGTCTCGCTGCCTGGGTGGTCACAACTAGCGGATTTCTAATATAGATGAACCACTTCTAACCCACTGAAAAAAAGAATAAACAGTGAAGGATTTATAGACCAATATGTTTCCGCCATTGAATACACATCAGAAGTCAACTTATGAGTAGTGTATGTGTGTGTGGGTGTGATGAACCTTCAGCAGTCATAATGCAAGAGAGCGCATTGTAAAGTATTAAAAAATAGTTGGTTTTTTAAGAGAGTCGAGCTGAGTGGTTGGCAGCGAGCAGGCTACAGTTTGCAAAGATTTGTGTCAAACAGTATCTCGTGAAATGTGACCCTAAATGGGAGTATATGTTAGGTACTGAAGTAGATGTTTGTGACAGCTTAACTAAGGCGCTCAGTTACAGATCACAGGAATTTCGGAAACAATTAAGTCCAACTGGTTAGATTGCCGTGATTAGATAACATTTTCAAGGCCCAGCCGTCTCTAAAGTCGTACAGGATATCTGGAAACTAGATAACTTATGTGAAAGAGAGCACGGGATCATGCCATAGGAGTTGTCTGATGTGGAAAAGATCGATGAGACTACCGAATAAGACAAGACGAAATAAGATAAGATGTCAGATTAAAAAAGAAAATTTTTATCGGAATGCGGCGTGAATGCTACCACTGGTGAAAGAAGGCCTTCGATGGGGAGTCGTTTATTCGGAAATGCCAA